CCCAGTCAGTGGCGCTACGTAAATTCGAAGCAGAACCCGGCTGATATAGCCTCACGTGTACCCGCAATATCTCTCAAGAAGGAAATAAACCAATGGTTACATGGGCCACAATTTCTCGCTCAGTCCCATTCGTCATGCCCTATGCATCCGGAGAATCTGGGTGAATTACCGCCTGAATAGTTGCGACCTGAGGTTGGTCATGTTTTCTTGGTCACTTTGGAGAAGCATTGGATTAATAAATTTAAGGCTTGCCCGATATGGACTTCCCTGCGCAAATATTTCGTTACCTTCTTGTGATTCAAATCTTATGTCATCGTCAACTACCTGAGCCGCGCTGCACCTGACCAACCAGCAGAGATAGAAAGTGCTTAAATTCGACAAGCTACGCTTCAGATAGTTAAGTTGGTGCAGTCAGCCGTTTTTGCGGAGGAGATGCGCCTCCTTGTGTACAACGAATCCGCCATAGGAGTTCGAAAGTTAAAACTGAGGGCATGCAGATTAAGACGACTCGAGCCCTTCCTTATTGATGGGATACTCCGGGTGGGCAGAAGGCTAGATCAACTCTCGGTACCGTGCGACGCCATTTTACTTCCCGGCCGCCATTTTGTCACTCGCCTTCTTATACTGCATTGTCACTATATCAATGGACACTCTGGTGCGCAGCACACTTTGTGCGATCTTCATTGACGCTACTGGATCGTGGGTGGATTTCATCCATAAGGCTTTTCATATTTGCCAAATGCTGCGTAAATCCTGTAAAGCCACTGAGTTAGCTGATGGCACCAGTTATAACAGACCAATGTCTGACCCACCAACCAGCGTTCACTGCAGTGGGGATTGATTATTTTTGACCGCTGATAGTGGAACGTGGCCGCGTACATGAAAAGAGATATGGCTGTTTGTTCAGTTGCTTGACTACACGAGATGTTCACATGGAGGTTTCCCACTCTATGGATACCGATTCGATCTTGTGTGCGTTTTTGAGATTTTCAGCTAGACGAGGATGGCAAAATGTAATATACAACGATAATGGATAGAATTTCCACAGAGTTGAAGCAGAAGCTTCTGAAGCAGCTGGATCAAACGAAGATCACAAAGTCTATGTTGGTTGACTGGAAGTGCAATCCTCCATGTGCTAGCCATCGCGGAGGTCTTTCGGAACGAGTGATTCGATCGACTCGTGAGTTATCACGTAACATTCTCAACGGCGAGGTTGTGACCGAAAAGCTACTTGTAACGACACTCACCGAGATCGAAAGGATATTGAGTGACAGGCCTTTGGTAGCGGTATCCGACTCCCCGGATTCGCAAGATGCTATATCGCCTCGGCAACTTTTAACGCTTGCAAATGATCAATCGCTTGAATACCCACCGATCAACTTACCAATCAAATTGAGCAGAAGTTGGAGACAGGTAAGATATCTGTCCGATATGTTTTGGCGTAGGTGGATCAGAGTATATCTACCGACACTGCAGAATAGGCAGAAATGGTTAACTGGAATCCGAGATCTTGGGTAATGGGATTTAGTTTTAGTTTGTGATTTACGCACATCAAGAGGTCTGTGGCCTAAGGGTGTTGTGGAGGAAGTTATCAAGAGCAAAGACCAATTAGTTCAACGAGCATTGGTGAGGAAAGCAAAGGTGTATTGAGAAGAGAAGTCAGACAGCTATGCTTACTAGAAGCGTACCAGGAAGAAAAGACTGATGAAGGGGAAGCCATGGTCCGGAATAGAAAACCGCCGCGGGAGTGTAAAGTCCAAAATGAACTTTGATGTATCCCCAAACTGGATTGCTTACATGAGAACAAGGTATCTCTATTCCCTAATTATTCTGCTCATTTTACATTGTTTTACTCTGGGTCCCACAATCCGTAACCATATCGTATGTTTATTCCTTTCGATCATTGACATATCCTTGACGTTTCAAGGTCATTCATATTATTAGGTTACTGTGACACTGCCCAAATACTCGCACGCTGCCGCATGCTGTACAAGTTCTGCGCTCTTGCACTACGACTGCAAAACCTATTCGTAAGTCATGTACTGTATTTAATATGCCTTATAGAACGACGGTTACGGGATAATTCGTTTTATTCTTTCGCCCAGACCGTGCGTTAAGTCTAGGTTTATTTGTTCGCAGTTTCTAATTTAGTTTTCCTACGAGGTACTTAGATTAGGCTTCGTATCGTTTGTACATAGGCATTTGCAAAAACTGCACGTACTTGCCAATATTTTTCAGATTGGTGACTTAGTTAATGACTGATTCACCGGAAAGGCGATTTTGACCAAAAAATAAATAGCGATGGTATGTTTCATTTCGCTTTCCTTCGCAAAACTCACCGAACCTTTGCATCACAGTTTGCAAATCTTGACATTCACCATCGAAGTTCCATGTCTCAAATGAGCGTCTTGCGTCATCACCAATCGCGTGTCGGAACATTGCAAACTGGTAGTCTGCTGGCTGGTTGTGTAAGTACGTCAGTATGGCGAAGCCCATCCACTTCGCCTTCCACAGTCGCCAGGTTTAGGGCAATGTGCTCTCCGTCATCTGTAATTAACTCGGCATGGAAATCGACGAATGTGTTTTGCTTCCTTGTCACCATATCGTGATGCACCTTCGACGGGTGGAAGTCGGGATGTGCGGAGATCAAGATTCCATTTACATTAAGAAAAAAAGCACTATTTGTGTTACAGAAAAATAGCAGAGTTCCAGTAGCGGGTTCGGTGTCCACTTCCTTGGCCATGTATCTCATCGCACACTTCCGGTCGGGCCATCTCAAAGCGGTCTTGATCGTGGCGTTCAAACTGTCTCCTCTCCCACGTTCTAGCGCGACGTTCGGCTTCCCCACCCGCCGTACTTACACTTTGGCCCGGCATTCGTTTGCACAGCTTTGGAATAGCAGTTCTCAGGCGTTGACTCTCGGGACAAGCAACAAGTCTGGCCCGTCATTCGTCTGCATAGCAATGATAGTGGTTCTCAAGTTTGACATCTTGACACAGAGGTTGCGACGGAGACCATTCCACTTGACATGCACCTCGAGTTAAAGTGTTAAAGTCAGTTTTTAAGTAGTTGTAAGCCAGCTCCAGCGAACGGGAATACGGCAAGAGCGGTTCCAAGTTGGCTATCAGAAATGAGTGATCGCTTGTAGCCAGAGTCTCCAGGATTCGAATGTCATGCACATGTGTTTCGTAGATCATTAACAGACGAGCCGGAATTAAGCGCGGTGTTATGCGTGTCGACTGGCATGTGCTGCGCTGCTCCACTTTCAAATACCAAGTCCAGGAACTTTGCTCCAATTACACAATAACCGGGCATGAGTTGGACTTTGGGCTAACATACTCGAGGACAATTGAAATCACCTATGAGTAGGAAATGTGCCCGAGTCATGTGGTTTCGTAGATGCGGCAGCCATTCCAAACAACGGCTCAGGTGGATCGAGTACCATAGCTGCTCACACAGTCCACCGTCGATTTGTAGGCACTCACAAGTGTCTCACACAGAAGATCGGATGTGGAGTAAGGGACCAATGCAGGCATACGGTAAAGTCTTGCGACAGAAGCACGAATAGGCACAGCTGGATTTCCTGAGTGATCATCTCAGAATTCAGCCACGTTTCTGCGAGTCGTCCAACGTCTGACCGCTTAGAGGCAACGAAACGACAGAGTTCATCGCGCTTGTTCATTAGACTGCAAACGTTTGTAAAGATTACACGCAGACCGCAGTAGGAAGTACCATGCTTGCGACCGGTGGGTAACCTGTTCGTCCTACTTTGTGGGATCTTGGAGACCACTCGAAAAGTAACGATACCAATAATTGATTCCCCATCATTAATGCGCCTTCTCCGCTCAAAGATAGCAGATTTGAGCAGTTCTCAGTGCAGTGGATCCAAGTCTGGGTGATTCTTTCGGACTAAATTCGTCCAAATGGGTGACTCCCATTGGCCGGTTTTGCTGATCACCTTTATTTCCAAATTGAATAATTTGCCTTACTCACATCGAGAAGTTTATCAAGTGAACCTTGTAGAAACTCGACGTCGCGATCAAAGCACATCTGAAGAGTTGGTTCACTGGATTAGGCGCGTGGAGGAGCACGAGGCTAAAATGCCTACGGTGAAGGTTGAGCATGCAGGGCGATAATTATCCAGAGCCGCAAGTGGTTTGGTCAGCAATTGATTTACAGCGGTTGCACTCTGTAGTTTTCTGCCTTTTTCGTTGCACGATCCACGGGTCTTCAGTAAATACGCGTTCACACATTGGAACATCAGTGCCCGTAGTACAAAACACAGGTAAAAGATTAGTGTCAAAGGAAACTGGAATGCCCGCAACAGCGAGACCCCGAATCGGTGAGTTGACACGGTACGAGCAAGAAGGCCGATTTGAAATCTGGAGACGCTTCGTGTTTATTTGGTCAAACACATGGAACCGCTCGCAACGGAATGACTCAGTCTACACGACGGCTTGTGATTGTGTTCTCTTTTTTTCCGGTTGTATTTTGTTCCGACAATCCTTACAAAAAATTTGAGAGAAATCAATTCAGATTTCACGAAGAGACCGAAAATGCTCAATCGTTCAAGGCTCATTAGCCCAATACTTGAAATGTAGAGATCAACTTGACACATAACACATTTGAGTGCATTTGCTCGATGTTCGGCAATACTGGATTATGAATAATCCGAGACTAAGAGGAAGACCAATCGTGGATTACAAAACAATAGTAAGATCCTCGAAAGTAAATAGAAATAACACAAGAATCTATAGCGGAAAAATTCAGAATCAGAAATGAAACTAGATGATATCATAATTTTCACGAAATAAAACCAAAACACATGAAAATCCAAAGAAAAAGAATCTTGCCAACACATCCAGTGAAGAAGCACTGGAAGTCACTGACCACCAAGCTTCTCTATTTCACACGATCGTTTTGCGTGGGTTAATTTCATGAGTTCCAAATACTATGCTAACACAAACAGTGAGAGAACAAAGAGAGTGGTCGGAACGTACCAGCATATCAAGTTGGATTGACCGCAGCGGTTGTCTGGTAAGAGGTGAATAACGAGCATCTGCCATATGGTTAACGTCGCATGGGAGCAGCTCGGATTGAAGCTCATTGGATTTTGGGCTAACTAGATGATCAGTGTAGGAGAACTCGGAGCCAGAATGCCCTGGACGAGCAAGATGGCCGGGTGAATATTCCACGGCGGCTCTGCTGATAGACATGCTAAAAAAGAATAGGGTAGCACAATGGAAAATGGGATGGTTTACGGATAACTTAACAGGTAAATTAAGCGTAGTATATGCCAACGATATTCGGAGGGGGGCTATCATTTGACAGTCAGCTGCAGGATTAGATAAACGACCTTTAGCAGGCACGCTGTCAAACGATACTTTCGACAATGCAAAGTAAAGGCACAAACAATATGCCGGCACACTGTATCGAGACTGCTTCCACCGTTTTCTTAAGAACATCGGTCACCCATTCGTTCCTGATTTCAGCATTCGTGTTCGACTGCGGCGTAATGGAGTTCTCAGGATATCCGTTTCATGTAATACCCAGGAGACATGCTGCACTTCAGATTCCATCGTTTTCTGGGAGCAGATCTAGTAAGCTCTCGCAAAGTGATACGAACTACACTTTTTCTCAGTACATTACATCCATAACGCTTTCAAACTTAGCCTTAAGGAAATAGGTTCCGTCCATGCATCTTTAAGAATAGTCCTTAAGGCAATCAAATATCATGCACCTGGCGCGAACGCACCAAAGCGTGCCTCTCGTTGAGTGACCAATCGCAAATCAACCAATAGCATATCAGACGATTTTATGACATGAGTTACCAGAGGTCTGTGTGGGGCGCAGATCGTGTGCGATTTGGTGGGTGCTAAGTCGCGCTCGACACTCGCATTCAGGCATAATTGGCTACCCAAATGCTAGGGTGTATACTCGCAAACCTCACGTGGTGCCACCTGGGCTTAGAAGTCACGAGTGATCATGGTGGTTGGCACGTAGCCTTTCAGACATTTCCATTTCTGCGTGAAATATGATTGCGCGGTGTCTCCGCCCATTTCATCTCTGAGCTGTCCGTATACTGCGAGCAACCCATGTGAATGAGTCCGAATGAATTGGCCCTTGGGAATAATAACATGAAGTCGCTCACACATACCGTTATCGATGATCGGCTGGCATGGAAGTTGGGTTAGTGACGCCGGAGGGGCGTGAAGAGCGTCCTCACACATGAGTTGTATTGTTGCGAAAAGGACCGAATGTGGTGTTGTTCCAGGAGCGATACACACAAACAGACAGAAGAATTCGGCAACACTCGGGGCTGTTATACTATTCTGCCAGCTCCAAGGAATGATCTCAGTTAGGTGTTATTGCTAAACTGCATTAAATGGCGGCGCACATGATTTGGTTAACTCATAACAATGTAATCATTAGTAGATGGTCAGTTTATCAGCAATACCCGTTTCTGCCTCTTTTCATATGGCAAATTACGCGTTCCAATGATGCACTCGGAAACCCGACGTTGAATCTGCTCCAGATCAGTGACATCGTGCTTCAGTTTTGGTTACCTTGTTCTACATGGTGGTTCCCAGCTTGTAATGCCATTTCTGTTTGCTCAGAACAACCCATCATCCCTTTTCAGTGACGCAGATCAGGTTCAACGATAGAGAACTGTAGGATATGCGTTTCGAACCTATAGGGGTAGAAGCTGTGGTATCGCATGCAGAGTATCTTACACGCGGATAGTCACCTTACCTACAAGAAATGAATCCTTTAGATGCGCAGCTGTCGAACAATGGTGAACGTTTTGAGAAATAAACGTTGTTATCATCAATAAATCGCAGTATGGCACAAAAGTGGAGACTGTTCTCGTAAGCGTAGGTAAGTCTCAGACTGATACGACACAGTACAACAGCGACGTAGCAAAGAAACAAATCCAATCGCGACACGACTGGACTTTATCTTGATGCGATAGTTTGCGTACCTTCGTGACCTATTGAGCTTCGCTCGGTGGCATCTTCTAGGTTCCATCAGGACTGCTCATCCTAAACGTGTCAATGGTTAGGGGTCGGACTAGCTGTCTCACAATCCGTTTCGAAGGTTGGTAGAGGCCCATGGTCCTCCTCTGTTAGAAAAGCCACGGGAGACAACAGGTTTTAGAGTATCTCACAGCTCGATTGGTGTAGAGCACGAGTGACACGCATCGTCTCTGACCGTGGGAGTGCACCACGCGGTGCTTAATGGTTTGCTACCTCCCGCTTCAATCCAGGCAACTCCTGGTGAAATAGGTGTAAAAGCGCCCATTCCCACATGCGGTTGGCTGTGGTCGCACATGAACTGCCCTAGATCCTCAAACGCTGTATCTGACAGGCCTCAAGCAAATCCCAATGAGACACTGTAATCACGCTCTGCAGTTGGACTAGCTCCCCACTACATTGTGGGTCAAGCTGTGGAGCCACTCAAGTGAACCTCCATATACCTGACTGCGTTGTGGGTCAGACTGTTGAGTGAAAGGCTAGGGGTAGGGCACCTCAACCAACAACCCTCTTCCGGAATGGGCAGCCGGAGAGTATAATCTGCCCTCTCGACCCGGTCGCCAACACTTTTTCTCCTCTACTCGTACCACTCTCTTCTCCCCCGTTTATTGCGCAAGGGACTGCCACTGACCTCGTAACTGAAGCTAGCAAACCGAGATTCGCATTCCTCAATGATTCATTTGACGTCCACGCACTTTTTCAGATAGGCCAACAGCAGCACTAACTCTCACTATCCACTCCCTCGGTACTGGTGCGTGCTGTGTCTCTGAAACACATATACAAGATAACCGTGTCATGACGAATCTTTCATTTACTGGTTTCGAATCTGCTGACAAGGATTACACTCTAAGTGCCTCTGGCGATACGAAGTAAATAGCTCAAGGTTATTATGCTGTCCGTACCGTCCAGAGCAAACATGCAGAATGCAATCCATTCGACTGGATGCCAGTGAACAGCCGTATGTGTGCTGTTTAACTTCGAAACTCTAGTGCGGTAAAGAACAACCGTCTGAGAATATCGTACATTTGCAATGCTCCTGTTAATGCCCCCAGTGACTGCAGTTCGGAGGGTATGAAGGACCACTTCCATCGTCAGCAGGAACTACTGAGACTGTGATGGTTGTTGGTTGCATAAATGCTTTAGTGGGTCGTCTTTCGGACTCTGAACAACACCTGTAAGGCTGTTTCAAGGTGCATGCACGTAGAACAGACAGTGGCGATTCATTCTTACAACTATGTGCTGACCTCAATGTGCATATTGGCAGCACTGCTTTCAAGCACTAACGTTCACATCGTGTCACATGTGTCCACCGAACCCCTCGATGACGCAGACCCAAACGACCCAGTTGCTGTAGGCCATACATGACGCACTTCAGTTCAAAACCGTCAGTCAATTTGGAGTATGTGTCTGTATTCGGAGCAGGCTCTAAGTGTCTCCCAGTTCACCTGCCATCGTAGTGACACCTATATATGGGGTACCAAATGACTCCCTAACCCAGACGTAGCTGCGGCACCGTGGCGTGCCGTATACCTCGAGTACGCTTCTGGACGTGTTCCGCCTCGCTCGACAGACAAAGTCAGCAACAAGCGTCTGCCCTGAAGGGAATGTCACGGAATCTTCTATCATTGCAACTAGATGCCCCATTGTCCCGTGTTTGTGTCACTGAATGCCCTAATCTTGCAAAGAAGGCCGTCTGCACTCTAGCCATGGGCCATGCATCACTTCTCTGCGTCATTGGTGCATTTAGATTAGTTAATACAGGCTCCCCCATATATACTGTTCCCAGTATGGTTGATGCTCACAACGTTGGCTTGCCCATACGTCTCCGTTTGAACCCGTCTACATCTTACCCCGTAACTCGTTGCACCTCGGCGGATACTGCAGGTAGGTAATCATACGGTGCAACTTAACATCGTTTAGCTCACTCTACGCATAATGTCAAGAGGAGGCGCACGCGTGCGCCATCCGGCGGAGGTTAGGGCAAGAATATTGAACAGCTATGAAGAAGGCGGTGACTGGAAGCAGTTTGAATCCGTGTTAAATGTCAATCTGAAGACTTTTCGAAGTTGGATTAAAACGTTAGAGTCCAAAACCTGGCGGGGTAGGTAGAAAATCATTGACTGACATTCACGTGGATAATCTGGTGGAATGGGTAGGAGCGGGGACTACCATAAGCTTAGAGTGTCTTCGTTTCCTATTGAAAGCGGAGCTCAATGTAGAGATGAGCGTCAGCACAGTAGCTCGGTGCCTGAAGGGTTACGTCATTACCATGAAAAAGCTACATGCTATACCCGAGCCAGTGAATACATCTGAAAGCAAGAGACGAATGAAGTCTTACGCTTTGCAGCTGATGAAATTGGAAGCTGAAGGGTGGCAAACCGTTTGGATTGATAATAATAATAATAATAATAATAATAATACGTATATTTCTCTTGATGAGAGAAACTGTGTCTATAGCGGCACAGATCAATTTGTACAGAAAAATCCATGCTCTTGCATGGGTGAGATGCATAGATGGAGTATTGGGACATGCGTTTCATGTATTAACATTCTGGCGGTTGGTTGAGGCCAAGGCCTAGTTATGAAAACATGGTGTTTATATGTTTTTGGGACCCTCTTGGAATAGCATATCGAGGGATTTTTCCCATGTGAATATAGAGCTTAGGGTAGTTAGACCAAGGCAATTGGCGGGTCTGCTACTAAATGTTGCCACATTGTCACATGACCTGAGTGTTAATGGCAGTTTATTCCACAGATAGCTGTATCAGACCAGGAAGAAATTAGAGCGGTATATGCAATGTAAAATCTTTGTTGCCAAGCGCTAGAGTTGAACAATGTTGCAAATTGAGTGTAGGCAGGTTGGAATAGGTCTTCTTTTGTAACATGTTGAAAAGCAGCAACACGTGCTTCAATCGTCGAATCTAAAGTGGTTCGAGATGCAGTTCATTGCTACATTCTCGATAACTCATAGCAGTGTTTACCAATCAGATGTTTAGTAAATGACCTCTGCAGGTGCTCTGCAATAATTGTCACTCTTTCTCATATGCTGCGGTATCCGAGGATGGAGCGAGTGAGTAGCTTGAAAAGCCCAACTCTAGCATGAGTTGTGTGTATTTTGTTTGGTATATTGGACATAAACTGTATGGCACGTGCTGCTTGGTATTGGGCCTGTTCGGAGAAATT